GTTCTGCCCCCTGGGCTCTACAGCCTCTGACTCTCCTCAGGTCCCTCTGTCACTCACTGCTCTCCTGCTGGGCTTTGAGGACACTACAGTCTGTCTGCTTTCGGCTTTTCCATAGTTTCTCAGTCTCCTCTACTTTCCCTTTTTGGTATGTTTGCTATCATGGCTAAAATAAAACCTAACCAATGGAACTGGGCCTCAGATCCCTATCCTTGTCCATCCCTGACTCAGCCTCGGGCACCATGCACCTGTGCCTCCATTGGCTTGACCTGTATGAATAATTTAAACCAGGTAAACTGGGGCATGTGTTTGCCCTGCCTATTGAGACGTTGTGTGCTGTATCTGAGTGGATCTCTTCTTCGGACCCCAGCTTTGCAGCAGCACAGGCCCTGGGAAGCAGCAGGTGATGGCGCAGGTAACCGGGTCCCTGCTACCTCCATGGGAAAAAATGGTTTGAGTTCCTGGCTCCAGCTCCAGCCTTTGCAAATTTTGGGAGAGTGAATCAATGGATGGGAGTGGGCAAGTACTTTCCCTTCCTCACAAAAGGGGGAAAATAGGTAAAACTGAACATGTATGCCTGATCTACTGCAGACAGTGCTTTATTGGATGCTCATTTTGAGGTGTCATCTCCTGGTCTGTGGCTGGCTCCACACCTCTGTCCTGGGTTGTCTTCTCTCTGACCCAGTCACAGCCTCACCTGCCATCTCCATGAGGGTTCTGCTCACTGGCACCTCAGCAATGGTGATGGCCCTGCTGATGTTCCAGCTGCCTGATGGACATGTCTGTGTGCCCCTTGAAACCTGGTACTGTTCACAGAGGATCTGTTCTCTTTCTCTGCACATACTCCCCATCTTGGTCAATGGCATTATTCTGATAGCACAGGGTGAGATCAAGTTTCCCTGCAGATTCTTGGCCCTGGTTCACTAGCTGGGCCACTTGGTGCTGTCTCCCTGCTTCTGTCTGTCTGTCGTCTTGGGTCCTGAACAAAGCTCATTCTTACAAAGCTGAGAAGAGTGAAAACACAGCAGAGAGCACCTTGTCCAAGTGACTGTGCTTAATATTACTGGAAAGAAAAATATGTGGATAGTATGTAGCTCCTAAGAGAACAGGCTCAGAGGGGATTATCACTTCTGGGGTATTATAGCAAAAATTCATAACATCAACCTTAAGCCTAAATTGAGGGATGTCTTCTCAAATATTGGGCCAGTACTAGTCACCAGTGTGAAAGTTCGGAGAGGCTGAGGAAAAGGAGAATAAGGGGACTGCACAACTGAGAACAAAGAAGGATCTTGGCTATGCACAAAGGCATCTTTGCACAGGAAATCCCAAGAAAGCCTAGCAGTTAAACAACAGTATTGTATCAGTGTTGATGGTTGTTTTCATAACTGGACCACTGGTGATAGGAGAGTTAAATTTAAACAAACTAGGTGAGAGGTACCTAGAAACTCTTTGTGTTCACTTGTAACTCTTCTGAAAGTCTGTAGCATTTCGAGAGAAAGGCTTTAAAAATGAATAAAGGGCAAGGGGGCTGGTGCAATGGCTCATCAGGATAATACCCTGCCTTCAAGCACCAGCATCCTATACGGGTGATGGTTTGAGACCTGATTGCTCCACTTCCAATCCAGCTCCCTGCTTGTGGCCTGGGAAAGCAGTGGAGGAAGGCTCAAAGCCTTTGGACCTTGTATCCACATGGGAGACGTGGAAGAGGTTCCTGGCTTCTGGCTTTGGGTTGGCTCAGATCTGGTTAGTGAGGCCATTTGGGGAGTGCATTAGCAGATGCACAATCTTTCTCTCTGTTTCTCTTTTTCTCTGTAAATCTGTCTTTCCAATAAATAAAATAAAAATATATTAATATTATATGCATAATAAACATATAAAAATAAAATCACTCTAAAAAATGGACAAAAGACATACTTTGTCAAAGAGAACACACAGCTGTCATAGAAACCTATGAAACAACATTTAACATGATTAGTTCCAAAGAAAATGCCAACTTAGCAGTGAAATGTCATTATACACACTCACCCAACCAAAGACTGACCATGCCAAGTGCTGACATGCAGAAGCAGCAACCGGGACAGCTGCATGATACAGCCGTGCCAGACGACAATCAATCCAGCAACTTCTGGCAAAGTTACCCATCCATTTAACCCCAAACCCAGACATCACCATCTTAGATATCTTCCCACAAGAAATCAAAGCATACGTTCATACAAAGACATACCTGTCTTATAGCGGCTTTTCTGAACAGTCAAAAATCAGCAACAGCACAAATGGCCCTTGACTGGTTCATGAATAAACAAACTGGGGAGTTATCCATACTCTCTAATACTGCTGGGCAATAAAAATGAACAAGCTATGGAAGAACACACGTGACCTCATGGATGCATTACAGAACATGTACTCTTAGTGGGAAAAGTTAGAATGAAAAACAAGAACACATCATGTATGAGATCATTTATATAAAATTCTGAAAAGTGCAAACTCACCCACTATGGCAACAGGCAGCTTGGTAGTCACCTGGGCGCTGGGCTTGGGGCCTTGGGCATGAACTGTAAAGGGCAGGAGACAATACATCAGTACCTCGGAGGTGGTGAGGTTTTGTGGGGACACTGCAGCTGGCAGAGCCCTGTGAGGTGTATCTCCCCCAAGCCTTAGCCAAGGGCTTTGTTGCCAATGGCAAGCCAGAGATACCGACTTTCCCTCACTGACTTTCACAGAGGAAGGGAACTTGCCTGAGTCTTTCCCGCACAGGGTGCCTCTGAACCACAAATTCCTATTCTAGTTTATTCTAATAAGAACTTGGCTGATCCCTTAATCCCCATTTAAAGGACCTGTGTTTACAGATGCCATAAAGTCTGGGCAAAGGGTCATAAATCACTCCTTAGCTGGATCCTCAGCACGAAGCTTCATGCTGTACCCCAATGTATGTGGGGAGGGAGGGGATAGGGCAGTCCTGCAGCGTCACCTTCATCCTCCCTTCTAGTGGCTTTGCCCAATGCGAGCCACTAGCAGGATATCAGTGGAAGTGAGAGAGAGAGAGAGACAGACTAGGGTCTCCAGCCTTCAGCTTCTTCCACGCCAGGCCACTGTGGTTTTTACCCAAGGACACAACCCTGGACAGGCGGCAGGTGCCTGATGCTCCCTTTCCCAAAATTACAGCCCCCTCTCCCCTCAGATCTAGGATGCGAATAGCTTTTCAACAAGCCCAGGTGTGCTACTCACCCTCGTGGATTTTCCTAACTAGGTCACATCTTCCTATCCAGTCTCTTCCTAAACTGTTGGATCTCTGAATGGCAAAGCTTTACAGGGCACAAGTTGAAAACACGCCCTCACAAATCCCACTCATCACCCCCACCTACTGTCTTTTTCTCCCACCAGTGCAAAATCCACCAAGGTACCTTCAGAGGGATCCAGAGATGGCTCTCCCCTCCAAACCCTGGCCCCGCCCACTTCTCCCCAGGTTCTTGTTCCCACCCACCCACTTGCCCGTCAAAGCTTTTTCCAGAGCGGGAGGTTGGGCTGCCCCAATCAGTTCACTGAAAGCGCCTTTGATGAAAAAAGGATGCATAGACGTCAGCTTTCTTCTTGCATCCAAGTAGAGTTACTTTTCAATTCCGCTTTCCAAGCACAAACTTTTTGAGTCTCCCTAGCGTGTGCACTTGGCTCTAGAACCGAGGTTTCCAGTTCCCCAGTCAGCATCCACAGGGTGGTGTTTCCCTACTCAGTTCCTGTCAACTCCCGGTGCCTCCTGACAGGCAACGCAGTCAGGAAATAAGGTGACACAAGGATTGCATCCCAGCAGGTGCAAGGTGATATCAGACCCTCAAACTCCTTACAAGGTAACAGTCTCCTCTTCCCTTCTATTCAAGGCCCCCACATCATGTTTCCCTGTCTGCAGGGGCCTCCCTCCTAGGCTTCCTTCCCACCCGGTCCCCGAAACCCGGTCAACACTCGTGGGAACGAAAGCCTCCAACCCCCAGCCTCCTCCCCTGAAAATGTACATCCCGTTAGCTCCTGCAAACAAATGCATGCCCCCTCCTTCAGTTCTCCACTGAATGTGGCTTATTAACCAACGCTTTTTATTTAGAAATAAAAAAAGAAAGAAAAATGCACTAGGACCCGCCCCCTTCCCCCAAATTGTCTCCTGCTTCAAGTTGTCAGGCATTCAGCATTCGGAGTTTTTTGTTTTCTTTTTAAAAAAAGAAATCTTATTCACCCGAATGGAGAGTCTCACGCAAAGCTTCTAAGTCGCCCCGTCAGAGCCGGAGATTGGAAGGGCGACTCGGGGACCAAGAACCAATTGACCGCCGGCCACACTAGAAGCGGAGAACCGGACCGTTCTCCGGAGCCTAGGCTCCGCCATCGCCACAGAAGGGCGGGAAGGGTCAGGATTCGGGGGTGGAGTGGGGTGGGGGGGAATGGGACCGCCGCCGCCGATGCGGGACATCCTCTGCCCAGCCTGGCCTCAGGCAGCCCCTTTCCCGGGGCCCGAGCCGGCCCGGTCCGCCAGCCGCGCTTAAGTACCACACGAGTAAACACGCTAGTCCCGGGCGAGCCAGCGTTCCCGGTGGAGGCGCGCGGCTTCCCGGCCCGCCCAGCCCCGGGAACCGGGCGCCTGAGGCGGCGACTCCGGGCGCGCGGGGACAGCCGGCTGGGGGAGGGGAGAGGCGGGCGGCGCGCCGGGCCGTCGGGGGCGGGGCGAGCGAGGGCAGGTCCGGGCAGCCCGCCCAGGCCCCGCCTCGTCTCCTCGGCGGATAGTGATAGACAGGCTTCCCAGCCAATCAAGACGCGTCTGAGGGACACCGCAGGGAGGAGCAAACTCGGGTCTCCGGAGGGGGCGGGCGGGGGTGGGCTGGGGGGGTGGGGGAAGCCTCTCGAGGTTGGGCGGCGCTTCTAGGAGACCGGCAGCTCTCTCAGCCAATAGGAGGTGGAAGTCGTCCCGTTAGCGCCGGATCCCCGCGGGTAGGGCGGGGCGGGCGGCGCCGTGGGGATCCCGGGGCGGCCGAGGGGCCCTTGACTTCTTGCTCCTCTCGGCGACATGGACCGGATGGCCAGCTCCATGAAGCAGGTGCCCAACCCGTTGCCCAAGGTGCTAAGCCGGCGCGGGGTCGGCGCGGGGCTGGAGGCGGCGGAGCGCGAGAGCTTCGAGCGGACTCAGGTGAGGAGCGGGGATCCCGGCGCATCCCTGGGACACCCGGAGAGACGCAGTGTCCGGGAGCTGCTTGGGCCAGAGTCGCGGGCTTGGAGGCCCAGGAGAGGCCGGGACAAGGCGGCGGCCGCGAGCAAGATGCATCTGAAGCGCGCACAGATTTGAGATCCTGGGTGGCCAGGTGGGGGACCTGCGGGGTACCCCAAGTGGCCCCGGGGAAGTAAGACACGAAGGGCAAGGGGGAGAGGATGGGCGGGCTTGGAGAAGGGAGCTGGACAGAGAGGGGACCACATAGTGGCTTCCATGGGGGCAGGCGGGAAAGAAAGGAACCCCAAAAAGGATTGCCAAATGGAAAGGGTGCGCCTAGGCAAGGGAAGCGCGTGGGGGGACACTTAAAGACCGTGACGACTGTGGCGCCGCCGGGCTGGGCAGTTGAAGGATGGGGAGAGAACCCCTCTTGCGCCTCTCAGTTGCAGCTCTCTTCATTTGCACCTCCCACCCCAGCGCACCCCATTCCCAGGGGCCTCATAAACTTGGCTCTCAGCAGCCTCAGCTGTCCGCCTGAGGTTGGATGAGATCTGCAGGGTGAGAAGGAATGTGGGAAAGACCAAGTGTGGCCCAGCCAGGAATGGGACTAGGGGCCGGAGAGGGGACAGTGAAGTAGGGGACAGGAACTGGTTACTGGGCCTGATGGACCCTGTTGGTCAGGGCTGGCTGAAGTAGAGTCCTGACCCGAGAGATTTTGTCTTTATTCCTCGTCCCCTCCCCAGTTTGGGCCTGATGGCTAAGAGCCTGACTGCCCTATTTGTCCTGCCTGGCCGGGGCTGGAAGCCAAAATTCCTCAGTGCCATCAACAAAAAGCCACAATCCATTTTGACCTCTGAGTCTCACTGCCTGGTGGATCGATTGAATTAAATAAAGCAGGCATGTTTGGGGTGCATGGCTTGGGAAGGTTCGTTTCTCAGAGTAGCGGGGTTTCTTTTTCCATTTCCATGGCTGAAGTTGTGAGCAGATCCGTTGGTTCCCTGTTCTTAATGATCAGAGAAGATGGAGTTGGGCTGTCCTGGGAGAGAAGCTGTGGGGAGGTGGCTGTGGGTGCTCCAAGTCCCAAGCTGGGCTGGAGTCCCACTCTTCACTGCCGATATTTGACCATCAGGACGATTGCACAGTTTTTTTGTGTGTCACACACGTTCTTGGGTGTTTCCTGCTTGGTGACCTGAAGCTTCCTGGTCTCTTGTCCAAGCAGCAGCCTTGGGTTCTTGTTTTGCTTTTTAAGGCAAAGGGAAAACAAACAGGTGTTCCTTTAGAAAAACCCATTTGCTTCTACAATAGCCAACACTTGGGGAAAAAAAAAAAAACAACCTGGGGCAACAGAGAAGCAAACTGCAAGCTTTTGACCTTTATTATAGTGATAGAAGTTAGGTTTGTGCAAGATGCCAGCTGTGTCTGCTGCTCCCGTAGCTCTCCAGGGGCAGCCCAATGAGGAGATGTGTTCTTCAGTATTTTATGTTCTATGGAACACTTGTAATTGGCCTGATTTTACTCTGTGTGTGTGTGTGTGTGTGAAAGAGAGAGAGAGGTTGGTGAATACACGTGAAGTGGTGGAGATAAGAACTGGGAAAGAGAATTTTTGCTTGCTAAGCACTTTCAGAGAGCAAAAGAGGGGGAAGAAAAGAAAATGAGAACAGGCCTAAATCCTGGCATTAGTCAGTCGACAAACATTTATTTTGCTCCATGACTACCTATCTACGTGTATTATGTGGTAGAAAAGTGTGTTAGGGAAGAAAAAAAAAATACGTCTAATGAGCTAAGAGACTATGAGAATCAGCCAAGTCATAATAGTAATTGCTCCTAATTATAGTGCTTGACACCATTCTAACCACTTCATTGTATTGCCTTCTGTAATCTTGATGGGCATTGGGCATGGATGAGGTGGGGGATCAGCCACACTTGACAATGAGGCCATAGAAGCCCAGAGAAATTAAATAACTGGGCAGAGGTCACACAGCTGGATGGGTCCCTCCTCCTTTTAGGTTATGCCTTGCTTTTTTAATTTAAGATTTATTTTTATTTTTATTGCCAAGTCAGATATACTGAGAGTAGGAGAGACAGAGAAGAAGGTCTTCCATCCGATGATCAACTTCCCAAGTGACCGCAATGGCCGGTGTTGTGCCAATCTGAAGCCGGAAACCAGGAACTTTCCTCAAGGTTTCCCACGTGGGTGTAGGGTCCCAAAGCTTTGGGCCTTCCTCGACTGCTTTCCCAGGCCACAAGCAGGGAGCTGGATGGGAAGTAGAGCTGCTTGTGATTAGAACCAGCACCCATAAGGAATCCTGGCACATTCAAGGCGAGGACTTTAGCCGCTAGGCCACCGCGCCGGGCCCTGCCTTGCTTTTTTGTCTTTGAGTCTTGAGCATCTCATTGATACCGGAGCCAGACGATGCTTGAGTTTTACAGCAGGTGCTCGTGCACGCCACGTGTGGCCTCTAGCAATTTGTCTATCATTTTCCTTATTGTAAAAGATAATGTGTCCTGCCACAGGTTTATGGGCAGGGGGTGGCTGAAGTCACATGAGCAAAGGCATCTATGAGCCTGCAGCAAGATCCCAGGCCTGATGATTATAATCTGGATGAGGAAAAAGAGATGGTGGAGGGCAGAAGTGGAACTCGCACTCCAGGGGACAGCCTCCCTGGCTCCTGAGCTAGAGGATAATTACCAAGAGCTGCCTGGACCGCTGCCGGATGCAGGGCCGGCTGTGCGGGTGGGAAAGGGCTGGGAGCCCTCACTAGCGACCCAGCCACGCCTTGGAGCATGAGTTAGCATTTGCAGCCAGAGAGGTGGGGATGGGACATTCCTGGGATTCGGAGTGGCAAAGAGAAATGCTGAAGGTAGGGAAACTTCTAGAGTGGACGGAGGCCACATGGATTGGCTGAGGTGGAAACAGGCTACTGTCACTTCTGACAATGGCTCACCAGCCACCTGGTGCTTGTCATCTCCTATGGTCTGCCCTCTCCAGATGCTCAGATCCAGTGAATGGCTAGTCACCAACAGTCAAGGGAAAAAAAAAAAGCAACCTTATGGAACACCTCCAGACATATTCTTGATCTCTGAATAATACAGTGTGACAATAGCACTTCCATCCTATTGTTAAGGTGTTACAGATCATCTAGAGGGATGATACAAAGTGCATAGGAGGGTGTGTGTACATTTACTGTGGATTCTGTAGCATTGTTTATAAGTGGCTTGAGGGCCAGGTGCCATGGCTCACTGACTAATCCTCACTTTGCAAACGCCAGGATCCCATATTGGTGCTCCTGGCTGCTCCACTTCCCATCCAGCTCCCTGCTTGTGGCCTGGGAAAGAAGTAGAGGATGGCTCAAGGCCTTGGGACCCTGCACCCGTGTGGGAGACCTGGAAGAGCTGCTAGCTCCTGGCTCTGGATTAGCTCAGCTCTGGCCATTGAGGCCACTTGGGGAGTTAACCAGCAGACAGAAGATCTTTCTCTGGCTCATCATAAATCTGATCTGTCTTTCCAATAAAAATAAAATAAATCTTTAAAAAGCCAAACAGGGGACTCTGGCTCATTGGACTGTCTTCTCTCTCTGTGTGGCCTGCAGTCAGCTGTGAACTTGAAGATGGCACTGTGTGTCACTCTTTGCCTGTCAGTCCCCTCTGCTGCCTGAGGCTCCTGGTCAGTGGTGAAGAAGCTACAGTCAAGGGTAGACAGTTGCTGGTTATACCAGCAGCAGCAGCAGCAACAAGGCCCTGGGCCTGGGCGGACAAGTCAGCCGTGGGCCCTGGGCGACATGTGTAATTACCTGCTCTTCTGCTGCACTGCTCGGAGCTTCCTCCTTCTCCTGTCTGGCTGGAAGCCCTGTGCCTTAACTATCAAAGAAAGGGCTCTGATTGAGCTTTTGTTGTTTTTAAAGATGTATTTTTTTTTTTATTGTTCGAAAGACAATTGACAGAAAAAAGAAGGAAAGAGAGAATTTTCCGTCTATTGGTTCATTCTCCAAATGGTTTTAAGAGCCAGGGCTTACCCAGGCTGAAGCCAAGACTTCCGGTTAACCCATGTGGGTGACCCAAGCTTTCCCAGGTTCATTAGCAAAGAATTGATTTAGAAGTGGAGCAGTCAGGAGTTGAACTGGCGCTCACATGGAATGCCAGGGTTGTAGGCAGCAGCTTAAAGCACTGTGCCACAATTACGTCCCGAAGGTCTGTTTTGCCAGTCTTCCTGTGCCTCAACACCTGTACCCTCCACTCATTCTGGCTTGCTTGTCCTTGCCAGTCTCTTTCTGGAAATTTGTCCTCCTCTCCGCTTCTGTCAGTTTCATCCTTGCATCATGTAGGGACCACTGGCTTGTTTGCTGGCCCAGACAAGGCCACAGCCAGATTCTGGGTGTCCCACTCAGCACATCACAAGCACCCTCCAGGTGTTAGGAAAATGGAAAGGAGTTCTTCACCCTTGGACAACTGCTGTGGTGATGTTAAATGTTTGTCTGGAATGCTTGACAGTGCCCGAAGCCTGTGGCTATTCCTTAGTAGGGCTGTAAGATGCCCGGGTATTGGGCCCAGCATGATAGTGTAGTGGCTAAAAGTCCTCGCCTTGAACGTGCTGCGATCCCAAATGGGCACCGGTTCTAATCCCGGCAGCCCCACTTCCCATCCAGCTCCCTGTTTGTGGCCTGGGAAAGCAGTTGAGAATGGCCCAAAGCTTTGGGACCCTGCACCTGGGTGGGAGACCCGGAAGAAGCTCCTGGCTCCAGGTTTCAGATTGGCTCAGCTCCAGCCATTGCAGCCGCTTGGGGAGGAAGGAAGATCTTCCTCTCTGTCTCTCATCCTTTCTAAATATCTGACTTTCCAGTAAAAATAAATAACTCTTTTTTTTTAAAGATGCCCACGTATTATCATCTTCATTTTGTGACGTCATGACTCAGTGGGCTTGCTGATTTACCTGGGGTCATCCTTTTGGGGTGAGGAAGCAAAGGGGGTCACAATTCTAAACCAGG